TATATATACTATACAAACTACTATGGTATATTTATGTGCAGAACTTCAAACCACACCTCTTATCTCTCTGCTGACCTTTTGAGTGCACTCCATGCTGGCACGTACCGACTGAACACTCTTTTTGTGCGATTTGTACAGTGGTTCTTTGAATGCGCTGCTGCGATTGAATTATAATTTGGTTACTGGCGTGTCAAATGTACAATAAATCCTCAGGATGTTATCATTTGCGGGGACGCCCGAAGAGGACGAGGAGAAAGGGGAGGGGAGAGAATATGAAAATGCATTTCACGTCTTCATATTATCTGAGTGTCATCCAAGTGGCGGTTTGTGAAAAGAGGGAATGGATCTGCTGCTTTATGTGCTGTATCTAATTGGATATGGCAATATATAATATGATTCTCCAGTATCCATCAATTCCTGTGTTAGACCTGTTTGCACGGCTGTGTCAGAGGGGCAGCCTAGCTTGTTATGATGCGTGAGCGGCAATTATGAGGTAATTTTTGACTCTTGCTGTGTGAGGCCATCCAGAGGATACTTGAAGGGAAGTTCCTAATGAGTGAGCATTGATTGATTGGACATAATAAGTGCCCTGCTTGACTGAAAGTGAGTGTGAGAAAACAGGTTGGGGGACGGCGGGGAGGCGGGGTTTGGATGATGGTAAATTTTCAAATGAAGCAAATGACCACCTATTAGAGATCTGTATAGGTGAGCACCACACCTCTGCCAAAACCAGGCTGGCGAAGCCCCACGCCAAACCTCATTTACTCTTCACCAATAAATAATTACCCTAATGCCTATTGTGTGAGACATGATGCAATTAAACCCTGATACAAGGCACCTTGCTTAGTGATCCTGTCAGGTTCCACATACTATAACAGGCACTGGTGGTCCTGGACTAATAGTTCTCGCTACCTGACTGGTCAGTAATGGGGATATCCTCCAAAGCAGACAGAAGAGCTCCCTAATCAGCTGGATCTGTCAGGCAGGCGTGTTTGTTTGCAACCAGGAACCAGGGAGGGGGCAGCTGGGAAATATTCAGAGGAAAGTAAAGCAGGGAAGCAGATTTTGATGCCGGCTATTCCTGTTAGCAGGGTGGGGGGGTGGGGGGTGAGGATAATGAAAGTGGGTAAAGAGAAGAGGGCAGACTCATCCACCCTCTTCGCTTCCAACCCCCTGTAACCCCAGCTTCTCCTGTAGCTTCCCTCCCA